CAAAGTCATCCATACATAACTAACAAAGAGACACAAAACAAAGTCATTAAGATACCAGAAACAAAGAGACACAAAACAAAGTCATTAAGACAGCAAAGTCATCCATACATAACTAACAAGATCACAAAAGAATTCCGGCAAGATCACAAAATAGTTCCAGCAAGATCACAAAAGTAACTAGCAGGACTAAACTACTCAAGCATCACGTTTTATCTTGGTCCTAAGCTCCAGAAACTTTGTCTTTGCTTCATCTGTCTTCATTGTTATAAAACCTCTTCTGCTCCCTTCACTGTCTATGAGAAGCTCAATTGATGCTTCATATAATGGAGACCACTCTGTCACTCCAGGCAGTGCATACAATATCTCCAACACAGACTCAATTGATGCTTCACGTTCACGCTCCAAGAGTTGTTTTGCTAGCATATTCTTCACCTCAAGAGCTGCAGTCCGTTTGTCACTAGCCTCTACAAGCAGATCTTTCTCTTTACGCCTTCTTTTTGCTCTTGAACTTCCAGAATGAGTCTGAGTCGCTGGCTGAGTTTGACGCTGGACTTGTGGCTGTGTTTCTGTGCGCTGGGCTTGTGGCTGAGTTTGGCGCTGGACTTGTGGCTGTGTTTCTGTCTCCAATGCTTGAGTCTCTGCTGCTGGCTGAGAATCAGCTTCATCATCACCATCATCCCCACCAACTCTTGAATTCAAACTTGCTTCTCCATGTTGAGCGCTCCATCCTTCAGCTCCAGTTACTACTACACCACCAAATTCAGCTTGAAACATGTCCATGTTATTAATCTCTTTGCATACAGATCTTCTAATCCCAGGACACTCCTATATAGCAAAAGAAAAAAAAAATAAGTTAGTGAAATACATACCAGTTAGTAATCAGACAAAAGAGAGATCAAATCAAAGAAGAGAGAATAATGTGAAACTGACCCTTTCGCGTTCAGTCCACCAATCCTCAGACATGTCAATCCTTCCCATGTCATCATACCCGAGCCCTGTCCTGTTTTGAGTCAGCATCTTAATCTTGAGAAACTTCTTTCTAGTGGTGTCGTACTTGCTCTTGTAGTACTTCCAATCAGAAGAAAAATTCTTATGAAACCGCTGTTCAAACGCCTCCATGATGTTGGTTTTCCCCACTTTATTCATTGATGTACCAACCTTATTTCCTTTTTTTCTCTCTTCCGCATAGAGTTCGAAGAAATACCTAGTTTCCTCAGGTTTCCAAGTCTAAGGCAAAACACAT